TCACTCTTAAATCCCCAGTTTATAACTGCCCACAGCTTCAGCCATATGAATATTTGGGACAGGTTATCTCAGAGATCTGATGTCCAACGTGGCCATGCTGCTCCCTTGTGGGAGAAATTCCCCATCTCAGGACCGGGGTGAAATCCTTACCCAACCAGAGCAGCTCCATCATCTGCAAGGGAATGGGCTTTGCCTTCCACCAGCATGTCTGAAGGACAGCACCAGTCCTTGAAGATGGCAATGAGCCCCCAAACCTCCCTCCTCCACCCCACGGGCTCCCCTTGTGTCCTCTGCTCAATCCCAGAGGAGTTTCTGTATCTAACAAGCCTTACTGGGACAGTTATCTGGGCTTCCATCCCTGGGGTCTCACCTTCCTCCTGCCCTCCCTGCCCAGCTCCTTCCCCCGATCCTGGTGTAGGAACATGTGGATAAGCACTGGGCACCTGGGGGCTGTGTCTGGACATCAAAGCACCCCAGCCACAGCTCCCCCACCTCAGGTGGATTTTCCCAGTGCTGAAGCCCTGGTGCCAGCAGGAGAAAAGGTTGGTGAGTTGGATCCTCCAGCCACAGCCGTTCTGATTTGGGTGCAGCAGGAACAAGGACCGACCCACAGGCTCCCAGCCCAGGGCCAGCAGAAGACAAGAACTTCTCAGGGCAGGAGAGCATCCCCAGGGCACCTTTCAGTCCCTGATCACCCTCCTGGAACTCTGCCACCTCTACTTTTACGTTTTCCTTCTTCCAGGTGGAGCAGGAGGGGTCAGGCTCCCATCAGGGACCTCCACCACCCCCAGCCCAGCACCTCCACCCCGTTTCTCTTCTGCCCCAGGCCACAGGGAAGTGCCAGCAGTGCAGGTGCCTGTCACCTTGACAGAGCTGGGTTCCACACGTGCTCCTGCCTGCAGGGGGAACCTTGGGCTCAGTCTTGCTCTTACCTTGAGCTCCTTGTTGATCAGGTGGGGAGATGGAACAGGACACGCCAGCGTCCTGCTCAGAAATGCCCGTGAGGAGAAGCAGAAGTTTTCTGCAAGGGTTCTTGTGAAAGGATCTGGGACACATCCCCTTTCTATCTTTAGCTCCTGTCCTTTTTCCATTTCAGTTTCAGATCCTCCAAGAATGCTGTTGTCAGCTGAGCAGAACAAGCCATCCCCAAACAGCCCCTCCAGCCACAGCTGTGCCCTGCAGGGTCCCTGGGTCCTGCTTGCTGTGGGGAATGCTGTTGGGAGCTCCAGATGAGTTTAGGGTAACCCATCAGAGCTGCAGAAATGTGCAAGCACTCAGCCAGCAGCCCTCAGGCTGCTCCACATGCTTCCAGCTCTGCAGGCCCAGGGGATGCTGCAGGGTCTCAGCATCCATCACCTTGAGTGCCCCTGACTCTCCTGAATGCTGTGCATGGGATGTGATTTTACTTTGTGGGAAAAGCATTTCCAGCCCTGCTTTGGCTGCTGCCTCGTGGAGGTGAAGCACAGGATGTTCAGAGAGGTGACTGTCCGTTCCACCCTGCAATTTGTGACACCAGGAGAAATCCCTGTTGGGCTTTGGGGGGCTCTGCAGCCTCCACAACCATGAGCTCCTTTGGTCTGGCTCAGGAAAGCCAGAGTGCCTTCCCTGCCCCATGCTGGTAGGGACCCCAGGGGTGTCCCAGCCATGGTGTTGGGGTTTTCTTTGCAGTCTGTGCCCCTGTGAAGCTCTGGAGGGAAAGGGAGTATCAGGGCCCTGCTTGGAGGAGTCTTGGTGCCCTCTTGGGCTGTGTGGGGACATGGAAACCATCCCGTCCCTGCAGCAGCCAGGGGTCCCACCCCCTGTGCAGAGCCCAGTGTGGCTGGGGTGGGATGGTCTCTGATGCCAGTGAGGTTTGGGGACATGCTGATGCCACACAGATGTCACCTGCACGTGTGTGCACGCCACAGAGAGGTAGGACACGGAGGAAGCACCATGCTACACCAGGTGCACTGGGGAAGGTTTTATTGACACTTTCCACAGCCAGGTCATGGCAAAGGGGTCGCTGCAGCCTGTGCCAGGACACTTGCCTGAACCTGAGGCAGCCCAGGTGGAGAGAAGACAACCACAGAGAGACCTCTGAGGTAATGTGGGGTTAGCAGGGGGGATACAGGTGGCAGTGCCAGCAGGAGCAGAAGCTCAGCACCATCACTCTGGGTGCAGATGCATCCAGATGTGCCCGTTCCCCCTGTGCCTCCGCCACAGACCGAGGGGCTGGGTGCCCTCCCTGCAGAGAATCTGGGAACGTGGGAGGAGCCCAGCAGCAAACAGCGTGCTCAGAAAGCGTCAGGACGCTGGGGTGGGCTCTGCTGGGCTCCTCTACTCCGGGAAGAGCAGGAACCCGGAGAAGATGCTGTCGGAGTTGGCAATGCCCACCATGCCGTTGTAGTCGTTCACTCCCAGCCACACCTCGTCCGCAGCAGCCAGGCGCAGCAGCGTGCCCCCAGAGCTGACCTGCACGCTGTTGGTCTTGTGGTCGCAGAAGCTGGCCATGCTCCTGTGGTTTTTGTGCAGGATGACGCAGAGGTTGGCCGTGTGCGAGCTGTGGAAGACGAAGTAGTAGATGCCGGGGAGCCTGCAGGTGAACTTGCCCGTGGTGGTGTTGTAGTCGTGGTTGGTGTTGGTGATGACGTGGTTGAAGACCACGGGGACGTTCTTCAGGGGGTACTGGCTGGTCTGCCTGGTCACTGAGAATGCCGACTGCTGCCTCTGCTGGAAGCTGCCTGGCACTCCCGGGGGTCCTTCAGTGCCTGGCGCCCCAGGGGCTCCCATTGCACCAGGGGCCCCAGAGTGGCCGGGCTTGCCTGGAGGACCAGGGGGGCCCGGTTCCCCTTTCATGCCCTTGGGCCCCATCTGTGTAGAAGCTGGGATACCTGTGGGGTGGTGGGGGGTGAAAGGGAGTCAGTGCCAACGGCAGGATGTGGGGAGAGGCTTCTCTAACCCCTTCACTTGGGCAGGAGAGTGCTGTTACCTCTTCCACCTCATCCACTGAGGATGCTCCTGCAAACCAGCCAAGGACTCAGTGCCCCCCTGCAAGAACCCATGTTCTTCCATGTGGTTTCCCTCCTTGCTCACTCACCTGGTTCCCCTTTGGCTCCCTTCAGCCCATCCCGGCCATCCCTGCCTGGTATCCCCGGCATGCCTGGCAGGCCTGGAGCTCCATAGCAGCTGTAAGGGTCTTCTACAGTCACAGCAGAGCCCAGATTCAGGAGGAGGAGGAGGAGGGTGAGGGCCAGGTAGAGCTGCTCCAAGAACCTCTTCTCCATTTTGGTGCTCTGTAACATGTAAAGGCAAAGAAAGTGCTGGAGTGAGGGGTCACAGCAGGGTGGCTTGCATGGAGAAAAGGAGACTGGATGCACCAGGAATGCCTGGAAGCCACAGGTGTGTCCTCAATGTCCCACCTACACACACTGCAGGACAGGGGGGAGGTGGAGATGTGGAGATGGGCCCCAGGCACATCTCCAACCCCAGGAGTTCCAGTCTGAATGGAGCCATGAGGTCTGAGGTACCCGTGGCCAGCCCCAAGCCTCTGAGTCCAGTGTCCCCAAACCTGGAGACGCACACACCACCACAGACCGTCACCCCGTGCTGCCCCGAGGCTGGAGCTCCCTGCACACAGCTGATCTCCCTCCTCCTCCAGCAGCAGCCCGACTGTCCTGGCTCTGTCCATCAGAATCAACCCTTCCATCAGCTGGTGCATCCTGTCTCCATCACACGTACCCGTCCGTGCCTCTGCCTCCTTCCTCTCCTCCTCCTCCTCCTCCTCTCTCATCCACATCCTCCTCTCATTCTCCCCCCATCCCCAACAGTGTGCCGTGCTGCTGGAGCCCTGTTCCCACCCTCCAGACAGGGGTCCTGCAGCACCTCTTACCTCTGGTGGGGACCAGGCCGGGGAACCTGCGCTGCTGGTCCCGCAGGGCGCGCGGTCACTGCCAGCGCAGCGCGGTGGGCGCGGCTCCCTGACACCCTCGTGGAGGAAGTCACAGAGTCAGGAAGGGTAAAGGAGCTTTGGGAACACAGAAGCCCAGCTGTTCACACCCAAATTTCACATCCTCCTGCCTGATGGCTTCTGCTGAGCCAGCACTTTTTTGGCTGTCCAGTGAAACCTGTACTGGTGCCACTGCAACAGGAAGGGCTGAAAGGACAGAGGAGACCCCCCAAGTCACTGCAGGGCATCGTACTCCCCAAACCCCTGATTTCCCTCTCACTTCCCTTCTTTCTGAGCAGAAGGGCAGCTTGGGAGCAGAGCCTGAGGCCAGCTCCAGTGGGCTGGAGATGCCTGTGGCACTGAAGGTCACTGCTTGGCTCTGATGGAAGATGCACCCCTAAATAGGACTGGAAAACATTTCCCTTTGACAGTTTCTGATCTGTACATTTCCCCATGTCCCACCAAGTTCTGCTGGGTGCTGGACCTGGTGGGGCCACAATATCCCTCACTGGGCAGGTGACCCAGGCTCCTCACTGCTCTAGGAACAGGGATATTTGAGTGTGCAGTGTTTGTGGAGCAGCTCCCCTGAGGAGCATCCCATAGCATCTGATGCTTCCTGACCAGCCCAGCCTGCTGTAGCTCCCTTTTGTGAGACCCTTGCAGCTCCACCACCATCACCCCACAACCCCAGCAGTGCCCCAATGTCCCTGTCCCTCCTTGCTGTAATGCCAGAAGACCACAGCTGCCTTTTGCCTTCCTGGGAGAGTTTGGGTGCCACTCTGAGACCATGTGGGTGAGGTGCAGGATCTGCTGCCTGTGTTTCCTCCTGCAGGACAGCTACCTTGGGCTCAGCAGAGAAGGACACACATAGCCCTGTCCCAGGTGTTTCCTATTCCTCCCTGGAAGTGTCAGCTCTGACTGGACACTCCATTCCCTCCTGTCCTGCCTTTGCAGCACCAGGGATGAGCTGGAATCGCTTCTCTCCCTGGGCAGCTTGGGAAGAGATCCAGGATATTGATGGTTTGGGGAAGATGCATGAGTAGAAAAGAAAACCCAAGGAGTAGTGGTAGAAAAAGCATTTATTTATTCTCATGGGGAGGTGATGACAGGATGTGTCCCAGTGCCAGGAAGGCTTTTGCAGTGGTTAGTGGAGCAGAAGCAGTGGCAGGCAGTGATTTCCCACTCAGCACCAAAGAGCCACAGCTGGTGACAACTGGGAGTGGAGCTTGAGTGCCCAGGAGGAGAAAGGGATGAGACCCACAGTGTCCAGGACAGCGTGGTCAGGCTCAGCATGGAGGTGAGTGCTGCAGTGGTGACCCACAGCTCGGCCAGTTGTGACATTGGTGGAAGCACAGAACACTTCTGGATGCTCAATTTGGAACCATCCCCATGTGCTGTGGCACTGAAGAATCCCACACACCCAGAGGGGAACGGCCAGGCAGGCACACACCCCACGATGCTGCAGGAGTCCCTCAGGCCACCGCTGGGGACACCAGGAACCCACTGAAGACGCTGTCGACCTCGGAGCCGCTGTAAATGGAGCTGCCCCGGGCAGGGTTGGTGTTCAGGGACACCTGGTCACCCAGGGCCAGGCTGAGCACGCTGCTGCCCGAGTTCACCTGCAGGATGCCGTGGCTGTTGTTGTCACAGAAGCTGGCGACACCCAGCCCGTTCTTGGTGATGCTCAGACACAGGTCCCCGCTGGACACCACCTGGAAGGCGAAGTAGTAGAGGCCGGGAACGCGGCAGGTGAACTTCCCGGTCTGGGGGCTGTAGGAGTTCTCCTCGTTGGTGATGATCCTGTCAAACACCACCGTGGTGCCTGTGCGCGGCGGGGACAGCCTGGAGGCGGAGAAGGCAGGACGAGGGTGCTCCAAAGCATCGGCAGCGATCCCTTTCGGCCCCGCCGGCCCTGGCATCCCACTCATCCCCGGAGGGCCGGGCACGCCAGGTGGGCCACGCACGCCTGGAGCACCAGGAAGCCCTGGATCTCCTGCATCCCCTTTGGGTCCCCTGATGCTCATGGTCAGCGCTGCTCTCCCTGGGGAGAAGTGAGAGGAGGAGTTCATGCACTTCTGGCGTCTCCCGAGCTGCTCCCACAGCTTGGGATGCTCCTACCAAGAGGCTCCCAGGCCTCCTGCACCCAACATCCTCAGCTTCCTCTTACCTGGCTCTCCCACGTCACCCTTCTGCCCTGGCCTCCCATCACGGCCAGGGACTCCAGGGGTGCCATTCTTGCCATCTGGTGCCTTACACACTCCGTCCTCCAGCAGGGCCATGCCCAGCACTGCTGCCAGGGTGCTGGCTGCCAGCAAGAATCCAGGCTGCATCCTGCCTCCTACAGAACAGGGATAAATTTGGGATGGAGGCAAACACACAGCTGAGCCTTGATCACAGATACGCAGGTGACCTCATCAGATGCATCCACAGATCTCTGCAATTGTCCAGCATGGATAACCAGACACCACGTGCAGTGGTGGGAATAAATTCTTAGAAGGGTTTTGAGGCTGCGTGTTCTGAAATCACTGATGTCACTGAAAATCTCTAGCATGCCCATGGCAGAGCTCTGGGATTGAAAAGCCCAGGACATGGAGCATGGCACAAACTCTTTCCTCCACATCCTGGGCATCCTCAGATGCCTGTAGAGGATGTTTATTCTGGTTTGGAGGGAAAAGCACTGCTGTGTGGGGCAGTGGTCCCATGGGACAGAGAGCACAAGGGAGGGAAGGATGCAAAGACACACGAGAGTGATAAACAGGAAAGGGAAAACCAGCAAATGGGATCCAAACCTCCAACATGCAGAGCTGGGAGAGAGGACACAGACCTATCCCAAAACCTGAGGTTCTCAGCCTGGGACAAGTCTGCAGAGCCCAGTGATGTCCACAATCACACAGAGCAAGGTCAGATTCCTGCAGATTCCTCTTCCCCCCACATCCTCTTCTCCCTGTTTTTCTACTTTGAACCCTTGTGGAGGGTGAAGAATGAAGGAGGACAGGGAGCAGGGACTGGAAGGTGGTGGCAGAAGAGGAGAATGTCCCCAGCTGCTTGTGGTGACTTACCTTGGTGCAGGTGCAGGACAGAGCAGTGTGAGCAGCAGCTCCGTTTGCTGGAAGCTCTTCTCTGGGAGTAGGGAGGAAGAGGAGAGGGGTGGGAAGGATGAACTTGCATGCACTGTGGTTTGCCTGGTTGGAGAAAGGATGTGCTGAGTTTCACTTTCTCTCTAAGAGAAAGAAGCTTGTTCCCCTTTCCATGCTTGACTCTGGCTTTACTGGAAACAGCGTGGTCAGGGAGAGGGCAGCACCACTGGGTGCCCAGCCTGACCCAGTAGCAGGGGCTGGTGGTGACTGGGCACAAAGCAACATGACTGGAGAATGCCCCAAGGCTGCTGAGATGGCACGAGGGGACATAGGGATGGGAATATCAGGTGTCTCAGCCACCCAAGGGATGTTTTGGCAGCGCAGGGATCACCCTTGGAGGCTCTGGGTGATGGGCAGAGTGTCTGTCACTCATGGTGCTGCTGGGTGCTGTCCCCTCTGGGGTCACTGCACTTGGATGGAGCAGGATCCAGTAAAGGGATCATCCATGCCTGTGTGGCTCAGCTGGGCCTTGAGTATTTGGGCTGGATATCAGGGGAAAGTTCTTTCCCCAGAGGGTGCTGGCACTGCCCAGGCTCCCAAGGGAATGGTCCCAAGGCTGCCAGAGCTCCAGGAGTGTTTAGACAATGCTCTGAGGCACAGGATGGGATTGTTGGGGTGTCTGTGCACGGCCAGGAGTGGGGCTGATAATCCCTGGGGGTTTCTTCCAGCTCAGGATCGTTTGTGGTCCAATGATCTCCTTCCTGCTGCCTTCACTTCAGTTCTTTGGGGACCTGGTGTTTGGTGTAGAGTGGGAAAAGATGAGGGTGTCTGGCACTGATGATGCTCTCAGTCCCCTCTGGGTAGGGACTTGCACCAGCCAGATCTGGGCAACCCCAGGAGCTGTGTGTGGCCTTGAGATCTGCCAAGTGAAACACCAGCACCTCCTGTCACTGAGTGCAGGGAATGAGTCCAGGGGTGTACAGTCAGCTCTGCTAAAAAAGAGCCCCAAAATGCCACCAGTCCCAAACCCCATCACGTCAGGGATGGGAGGTGCCACAGTGACCCCAGCAGGTGAATATCCCTGGGACCCTGGGGACCACCTGGGACCCTGGGGACCACCCAGGCCACCCCATGGGGGACACAATGGGCAGTGAGGAGGGGCCTTCTCATCCAAATCCCCATGAGTGTCCTTCCAGGAGTCCTGTGGCAGGACCTGAAGCTGGGGCTCAGGGGAGGATATCCAAGGAAAGAGGGTGGTAAGCAGACCTGGAACTAGGGTGACTCCAAAATCAATGGGAGTTGACAAACACCACTATCCCCTCCACCTTTTGCTTCCTGCATTCCTAAGGGAGGTGTCGCATAATTTCCAAAATAGCTGAAAAAGGCAGTGACCAAAACTCAGTCCAGAGACCTTTGCCAGCAAAGATCTGTCACTGAGTTGGTCTTTAATTCATTGACTAAATGCCCACTTAATGCAATATATTACACATTTTTAATCAAAATGTCACCCCATAATAAATCCGATGCCCAGAAGAAATGTGATTTTATTTTATCAGCAGAGTTCCCCTATCAACCCGACCTGTAACCGTGTCTAGACAAGATGACAGGTGAGTTTGAAAGGACCTTCATTCTGCCAAACGGTGTTTCTGGACAGTAATTGTATTCCTGTCCTATTGCCCTCTCTTAATATACAGCCCAAATTAGACCACTCCATCATTTCATCCAGCATTGATTGATGGCTGTGTCCTCATGCTCTGTGTCCTTTGTCTTCTGCTGTCCCCTTAACCCCATTTAAATGCTGAATTACAGGGGCCAGCTGTGGGTTTCCAGCATCCCCTGGAAGCTGATGTTCCTCCGGGTGTTCCCTCCCCCAGGTCCTTGAGATTCCTGAAGTGTTTAGCTCACTAAACACTCGACTTTCAGAGATGCTGTGGTCAAGCCAAGCCTTCCTCTCCCATCCTTTGAGCATCTCCTCCTCCTCTGGATCTGCAGCTGAGACATCCCAGACTGGTTTGGGTTGGAAGGGACCTTAAAGCTCATCTTGTTCCACCCCCTGCCATGGGCAGGGACCCCTTCCATGTCCAACCTGGCCTCGGACACTTCCAGGGATGGGGCAGCCACAGCTTCTCCAGCCAACCTGTGCCAGGGCCTCCCCATGCTGAGAGGGAAGGATTTGTCCCCAACATCCCATCTGATGTTGATGATCCCTGTGGCAATGGGAAGCCCTTTGCAGTGACAGCCATGGCTCCAGGGGTACCGTGCAGGGAGCCAGCACAGACAGTGCCTGGTGCCGGTGTCCCTGAGGCCGCAGTGCCAGCACGGACAGTGCCCGGTGCTATCCCGGAGGTTCTGAGGCGCGGACAGTGCCCGGTGCCGGTGTCCCTGAGGCTGCAGTGTCAGCACAGACACTGCCCGGTGCCATCCCGGAGGTTCTGAGGTCCGCACAGTGCCCGGTGCCGGTGTCCCTGAGGCCGCAGCACCAGCACAAAACGCCTCGGGCGGCTCTCCCCTCACGCGGCCGGAGCAGGGCCGAGGCCGGGCCGTGCCGCGAGATGGCGCTGCCGGCCCATGCAGGCCCAGGCGAGCTCCGCCCGCCACCGCCACAGCGGGGCCCGCTGTCCCTTCCTGCTGTCCCCTGTCCCTCCCTGCTGCCCCCTGTCCTTCCCCGCTGTCCCCTGTCCCTCCCCGCTGTCCCCCTGTCCCTCCCTGCTGGCCCTGTCCTTCCCTGCTGGCCCCCTGTCCCTCCCTGCTGTCCCCTGTCCCTCCCCGCTGTCCCCTGTCCCTCCCTGCTGTCCCCGTCCCTCCCTGCTGTCCCCTGTCCCTCCCCGCTGTCCCCTGCCCTCCCCGCTGTCCCCCGTCCAGCTGCACAGTGCCCACTCGGACACCTCTGCCAGGCACCCCGGGGAGCCGGGCCAGCCCATCTCCTCCCGCAGCCCCCAAAAGACTTTCCCCAGGCCGGGGGCCTCCCCTGAGCCTGGGGACAGGAGGGGTTTGCTCGGTGAGGAGGAGGCTGTGACAGGGGGTGCAGACAGCCCTGCTGGCTTCTCCCCGTGGGACAGGTCCAGCACAGCCCCAGCTGCACCACGGACAGGCTCCAGCAAGGAGCAGGGGCTGAGACCATGTAGGGGACCCCCAGGTGACATGGAACGGGGCCAGGCTCAATGCAGAGATTACCTGGAATAGCCAGAGGATGTAGATGCTCCGTAGAGCCCCAGGTGTCACAAAATCACATCCCCAAAGTGCAAATCATCCACAAAGAGGAGCCCTCCCCAAAGAGGATGGTGTTGGTATCTGGGGAACCTGAGCACTCAAGTGAGGATTTAGGGTACCTGTTATGGCCTCTTGGCTCTGCTGCACACCCAGGAACTCTGCTCCGGATGATTTTTACTCTGACCACCCCTTCCTCCTTTCCGCACGGGGCAGCTCCTTCACCTCTGGCTGCCCTCCCATCTGGGGGTGCCAGGTGAGATGGGTCAGTGCCCTCCCAGCCCTGCAGCCCTTCGTGGAAGGGAAATGACCCCTGCACAGCCTCCCCCTGTCCCCAGAGCCTTGCACGCACACAGAAGCTGCTGACAGCACACAACGGGGAGAGATGCTGCTGCCTTCCCTGCTGGGGATCCCTGGGGTGCGGAGCGCTGACAGGCTGGAGCTGCCAGAGGAGGATAAATCAGGCAGCTGGCACTTACCTGTCACTGAATGGGAGGCAGTGATGGAGATCAGCAGTGCTGGCAGGTACCACACACCCCTCTGCTGCCAGTCAGCAGCATCCCAGCCACCTGCACCCGCTGGGAGGTGAGGACAGCTCACAGCATCCCCCTTTCTGCAGCCACTGGTGGCTTAATGGTGCCTGAATAACCACCCAGATGGATGTTGCAGCTGTTGGCCGTCCCAAATAGAATCAGAGAATCATGGAAGCATAAAGTTTGGAAAAGCCCGCTAAGATTTTGAATTCCAAACATTAATCCACCACTGCCAGGTCCAACCCTGAAGTGTGCCTCCAAGTGCCACATCCACGTCTCTTAAATCCCTCCAGGGATGGTGACACCACCACTGCCCTTGACAGCTGTGCCAGTGCCCGATAGCCCTTTCAAGTGAAGGAATTTTCCCTAATATCCAACCTAAACCTCCCGCTGCACAACTTGAGGACACTTCCTCTTGTCCTGTCACTTGTTACCTGAGAGAAGAAACTGACCCCCACCTGGATCCATGCTCCTGTCAGGGTCTTGTGGAGAAAGATGGTGCCCTGGAAGGATTTTGTGAGATGTCAGGTGAAACTTGGGCTGCAGAGCCACTTGCCACACTGTGTAACACTGGGTGGCACACTGCCACTCGTCTGAAATGTTTTAATTGCTGTCACAGGGGATGAGTTATTCCTATGATGGATGCTTGCACAGAGCAGGTGTGAGCAAGAAACACAGGTATGTGGTTTAAGAGCCAGGATTTTGGGCTCCAGCCCTTGCTGGCTGTCTCCTGTCATTGATGCACATCTCTGTTGGCTCATGGGACGAGAGGAAATAGATGAGTGCTGAGCAGCCGTGGGCAATGCTGGGAAAGCTTGTCCCATCCCTCTCTCTCTTGTTCCCTGTTAAGGATGTCAGGGCTTGTCATTATTCGACATCTATTGGTTAATTTGGCTGATTGTTCCCCATTCTTTAATGTATCCGTTATTTATTTATTCTCTGGTGTAACAAGCAGTTCCAGATTGATCACTTTGGCATGTAAATGAGCTGCTCTAGTGCTTGTCACTGAAATTTGTAGATTGGGGCAGTTTGCAATCAAACACAGCCGGAATCTAAATTACAGCATTTCAGGCAATAATAGCAGGGAGAAGACAGGAAGGATGTGCCATAAATAAGATGGTATCAGAGCAGGGTGCCCCGAGCTGTGCTGACAACACACCAGGAGCCCCAGGGTGAGCAGCAGGAGTCCCTGCCCTGCAGAGCAGGGCTGTCCTGGCAGGGCTGGCTCCTTCCCCAGAGGAGAAAGGCAAACAGAGGAAGCAAAAGGCTTTTGGGAATGGTAGGGCCTGGCTGGGGACCAAGGGCTGCTCATGCTGGTCTCTGAAGAGCCCAACGTGGGGAAAGCATTTGCAGG